TTATATCCCAATGACTTTCCCGATTCAATAGTTTTTTTAACTCGAATAGAAACGAATTATTATTAAAATAACAATCTGAATTATTTTGATTATTACTCATAAAAGAGCTTCTTTTTTTTGAAAATCATGGTGGGTGAGTAAGCTCTTCTTCGGAGTTGCTAATACTCGACATCCTCCCATAACCTCCAGAAACAAAAACCAGCAGGAGGATCAACACGAGACCTTGAAAAACAATCAGCATTAGTTGCAAATTTTATTTGTGATTCAACAGCATTCACAAAGGTTTGTTGATCAGCAACACGTTGATCCGCTCTACTTTATGTCGGCTTTGCAGCAGAAGCTTTCGGCGAAGTGGCAGGTAGCGAATGACCAAATTTCCCTGTTGTTGTGAAGCAGGTGTTGGAATGCACGCAATATCAGGAGAGATAGAAGTATATGATCCATTTTTATGTTCGTGATTTTGGAAGTTTTCCCCAAAATGCCCCTGAACTTTTTGTTTATCTTTCTTGGCAACCCTATTAAGTTTCAACTCTTCTTTATTAAGATTCTGTAAAGTCTCATAAATACCAAATGGATCTTTTGAAACATCATCCTTTTCATTCAAATATCTGTTACTTCCTTCTTCAAATTGAACGTGCCCATTATCATCTCCATCTTTCACATTATTGAACTCACATGTAAAAGATGGATCCTAACCCGATACTTCTTTAACACGGATTAAAAAAATGGTACCGTCTACATTAATTTTAACCTCCTCCAAAATGATATCAAAATGATATTCAATACACACACCCGAGACTTATACACACCCTCTCCAAGATTGTCATCTAAGTGAGCGATAGAACCCCATTTCGCCATAATCTTTCTAAACTTCGTTTTACTCTAAGCACGTAGTGGTACACCTTCAATATCAACCCAAACAATATGATCCGGTGGAACAAAGCTTCTATCCCACTTTCATTTTTCAATGATCCAATGGTTGACTACATCACTTGCCATGAAATTTTTACACACGTCCTTTGAATCTAATTCAAACATCACCCAAAGACCGCCTACATATTTGATTTGAAAGTTCTCAAAACCCTCATCATGGCACATGTGACATCCCTAATTCAAGGTCATTTTAAAAATTTTATTTATGCTTATTTTAAAATCAGAGTATTCATTTTTAAAGAATAATATTGCGGAATTTGTTCCCAGAAAACATGATAAGTATGTTATCAAAGCATTTCCGAAGAAATGTATTTTTTTATATTAAAACTTTGGGATGTCATCGTCAATACATAAACATAAGCATAAACAGACCTTACATTCATTTACACTAGTGATCTACATCTCCTTTAATCTCTCAATGTAATGTAGCTTCGTATCGACACTTGTGATACAAATAAACTAAGTGGGTCAGGTTGGGAAACCAGGTGAGTACATAGGGTTTTCAACCCACAATAATAAAGTTATTATGTTTCATCATCAAACAATTAACCCAATTACTCATCCCCGTTATCTTCTCTATTTCTTAAGAATCTACCCTAAGAATCATCTATCATTCACTCATTCATTCCTAAGGATTGTCCTAAGGAATAGGTACGAAGTCTATCGCTCCCAGAGTTTATTTAATAGGCACTAAATCCATAGTTGCCGATGTTATTGTTAGGCACTAAGTCCATATCTTCCAGGGTTTATCTCTTTTATTGACTGTATTATTTTAGGGAGTCCACCCACAATACATGTCAATGGGTTTTTAGAGTACATCTGATGAACATATCGTTCACAACACCTACAGGCTGCGAGCCTGCTAGTGTTCCACTGGACTGTCTAGAATAGTTTGTGGTTGTCGTCTATACTTTCCTAGATGACTAGGCCATCGCTTGGGTTATCGCTTCTCATCATCTTTCACCTCTCATCATCTATATCATCTTTCATCTTTCATCTCTCATCATTCATCTCATCTTTCATTTCTCATCTCATCTCATCTTTCATCTCTCATCTCATCTTTCGTCTACCCATCGTTACCCATCATAATTATAGGTATAAAATATGTATATAGTTTAAATCGAATAAAACATGTATATTTTGTTTATCCAACATAGATATCAAGAACACAGATAATATGCACACATAGCACGTAATCTATACTAAATACTTCATATCTATGTGTAAGATGAAAGTAACTATGCACTCACTTGTTAAAGTGATGATTCCAAACTTGGGCAGCGTTTTGCTTCTAACAATTCTATTTTCCTTCGACGAAACCTAGTTTCATTACCGCTGGATTTTAGTCTAATATTTATTGCGACTATTTACGAGTGATATTGTTTTATAAGTGTTAAACAATACTTTTCAACTACTATGTACCGACAGTGGCCAGACATGAAACACCGGAGGGCAGTACCATTTTGGCATTTAAGCTGTTCTGAAATCCAACAACCCTATGCGGCCCTTCAAACCAGATTCCCTGTACCGCGAGTAGTTTAAAGATATTATAATAACACTTTGTATATTATATTTTATAATATATATATATATATATATATATATATATATATATATATATATATATATATATATATATATTGTTTATGAGTTCATAATAACGATAATAAAATTAAATATAAGTTATACTTAAAGTAGGGTAAGCATAACTTACTTATAAGAGGGTTTGGCTAGGAACTTCCGAGCCGAAAGCTCTTCTTCTCGGAGCCTTCTGGCATTCCGGGACTCGCCTCTTAGCACTTGGGAAGTATTAAGGGTTGGGAGGGGTTTAGAGAGAAGTTAGAGAGAGAGAGAGAGAGAGATAAAGGCTAAGGTGTGAAGAAAATGGGAGAACCTCGCATGCTATTTATAGGAGCTGGCCTGCGCAGTACGCTGGGCGTTCCTCGGAGCTACGATGCACGTACCCAATATGTTGCGCGTACGAGGGCTACGTTGCGCATAAGAGGGGGCAGGTGTCGCCTCCGGATGAGAGACCGTGGAGAGCAAGTAAGGGCCAGGATTTGGCCACATCACCCTCCTCACAACAGCTCACTCTCGACTTCTAAATTTCGTAACTTTCGTATACGAGCTCCGTTTTTGACGTTCTTTATATCCACGCGTAGGTGGCGATGTAATCTACAACTTTTGTTTAGACTCTGTCGGCTAATTTTGACTTTATTTTTAAAGTTATATTTTAACAGACTTATACAGTTAAAATCAGTTAAAAATTCATAACTTTTTTCATCCGACGTCCGTTTTCGACTGTCTTTATATCGTTGAGCTTCTATTAATGAGATCCTAAATTCTCATTTAGGTTGTTTCAACTAAAAATCGATCGATCTAAAATTATATTTCTGGGTTGTGCACTGATATGCTAAATTTTAGAAAAATCATAACTTTCTCATACGAAGTCAGATTTTGGCGTTCTTTTTACGCACGATCTCGGTTTAACGTATACTACGAATTTAGTTTAGATTGTTAGGGCTAAAAAGTAATTTATCAAAAATTCACTTTTTACGTCACACAGCGTCGTGTCGGTTTTGTCGCGAAACTTCGACAGGTCATAACTTCTTCGTTATAACTCGTATTCCAGCGTTCTTTATATGTACGGAAACCTTGTGACATATACTATAACTTAGTTAAGATTATTTATTCTAAATAATCTTCTATCTAGAAGTCATTTTTTTACGCTTATTGTCTCTAAATTGACTAGCCCGAATCTGCGGGCGTTACAGCACAACATCCCGAGATTGGGTAATGTATCAAAGTCTCTAGCTTTACCGAGACATGCTAGCTTCTTATTGTCAATAAGAAAATCTCCCCAATCAATAACAATAGCAACCTCATTAGATTCCTTACTTTGCTTAACAATAGGGTGACCTCTAACCACACTAGCATATGAAAAAGAAGAGTTTTTTGTTTTTCAATCTCAGATGTGATCTTATGCTGTGAAAATTCCTTTTTATCTACACGTTGGAACCGAAGCAAACATTTTATGAAATCTAAACCATATATCACATAGCTTCATATGATCGACATTATAGACACCCGAGAATCTTACAAATCCAAACTGTTCCCAAATCTCTATTTTTTATTAGATATAAAAACATCCACTACTTTTCGTCTTTTCCCACTCGTGAACACATACGCCACACATCAGATTGCAATACAGATTCCGGAAAATTGGTTACGTAAAAGGAATGTATATCAGACATGTTAAGAAGATGAGCCATGTGGGATTTAAACCTTATATTGTTCTGCTTTCCATCATAGTAGTCCTCCTTATTCCAACGCTCCCCATTTTGCCATTGTGAATTACGATCATACATGGTGATAGTCTAATATAAAGTAAGCAAAAAACGAACCCAACTACCAATCAGAATTGGTAATTACAATTAAGTGTCGACGAATAGAAATCCAAGAATCACCCCAACCCTGCCGGCGTTTGATCCCGCCGGAGAAGAAAGGCCGAGGACGTGAAACCTTTGACTTAATCCGAAATCATCGGACCAATTTAAAATCGCTCACTGTAGAAGGGCCGAGGCGTTTGTCTATGTCCAAAATGATTTTGTTATACATTTAAGTGATTTAACCATAAACTCAATTATTTGCTTAAATGTAAAACAATTAAATACAAATAAAATGATTTTAGTAACATATAATATATTTATATTATTGTAAGTACATTACATGCAATCATACATATAAAAGGATAACGATAACACATAAATTAGAATCTAAAATTATCAGACGTATTGTTAAAATAATTTAAGAAAATGTTGTTTTCTAAGATGACGATAGCTAGCAAAGAGGGTAACCATTTTCTTAGGAAGGGAAGATACCAAATTAGAAAGAAATAAAGAACCATACAACCTTCAGTCCTTTCAAGATCTAAAATAAAGGGCTTTCAAGCATTTCAAAGGAACCCCTTTAACTGAGGATATTATTTATCTCTATAAATCAAATACTCAAATCCTAATAATTTTATCACAAAGAACTCCTTTTTGTATATTTCATTTTTTGCAAATATGAGTGTTGCTTTTATTGATGGTCCGATGTTGACAAAATTTGTCAATGATTCAGCAGCTTTTGAAAAATGCATAAAGGAACGATTTGACATGTTAGATGTAAACAAAGATGGTGTTCTATCACGTGATGAACTTCATAACGACATCAATGATGTATCTTCAGTGGAATCCGCGTTGCAATCCAAAGAAGAGGTTACTAATCTATATGATGTATTATTTGAGAAATTTGATACCGAAAAGAAAGGCACACTTGATATTAAGCAATTTAATTCGTTAATGAAGGAAGTCATGATAGCCAAGGCTCATGGTTTTGGTAATACTCCGGTATGCATTATTCTTCAGGCTGATAGCTTGCTTCAGAAAGTTGTATAATATCAATACGTAAAATTGAATAACATATTTTCAAGATGAATTGTCTCAAAAGCTAAGCATCTATAGAAATGTCTTTAATATATATATATATATATATATATATATATATATATATATATTTGTCTTTCTTTTTATTATTATATGAAGTTGCAAACCACTAGCATTTGCCAATGAATGTAATTATAAGTATATGATACTGTGGTATGTATATTTTGGATGGTCAATACATGTTTTTTTATGATTCAAAGACATGTAATCTTACAAATCTTTGTTCGAGAGTAGGAGTTTTTAGTTTTTATTTTAAACAAAAAAAACTTATAACACAAAAACTACTTCAGTAATTTTTAAGAGTTTATAACTTTTGATTTTTATTTAATTTACACATTTAAAAGTTAACTGTTTTTGTCGAACACTAGTGCACAAATAAAACTCAAATAATCGATCCAAAACAAAATCAATTTTTTCTTGATAGAGAATCCCGAATGAAAAGGATTTTTAATTCCTTGTCTTGATCAACAAAAGATTTTATCTCAAATGCGGGAAAATTATTGAATTTTTTTCTAAAACTTAATAAAAATATCTTAGATGAACATTATCTTGTAGATAATTAAGTGTGTTGTATAAACTATTTTGGGCCGCGTGCAATACTTCTGTAAGGAAATTCTCTCATGAAATTTGGAAAGGATCGGAGATCCATTCCTTCTTCGTTAGTCAACATTAATGACGACAAAAAATTAATGATTGTAGATGGGAAAAAGGTCAGAACTGGAGTACTTTAGGATAAGGTTGACCCATCTCCGGCTAAGAAGGCGTGCCGGAGGAAGGATCGCCATTCTGCGGTGTACACGGACTGTAGAGCGACACCTGAAGAAGAAGAAGAAGAAGATATTGTTGACTTGTTCATTTTCAAATACTAGTATTAGGTTACGTGTCGTATTGAGTTGTTATCTTCGACTAAAGTCATGGGATTAAGATAATGGGCCTAAATGAGTAACAAAAGTGTTGCAGTAAGTGTTGCACTAAGAGATATGGGCTAACAAGATAAACGAATTAAGTTATAATTTAAGTTTTAGTAGACGTTGGTAAAAAAGACCGGTATGATCTCGAAAAAAGACCGAGAATGAAACGGTTTAATTAAAAACGAGATCGGGCTGAAAAAAAAAATCAGATCTACTTGAGACAAGTCCGTGACCGGTTTCAAATTCAAAAAAAAAAAAAAAAAAAAAAAAAAACAGCTGCCAAAGTTAATATCCGCTTAATTTCACGTTAACTACACATTATCTAACTTCTTCCTTTATTTTTTTTTTAATTTTGATGTATTACTTTTGGTAAATCTTAATATATTATTTTTGTATTAATCGTACATTTTTAAAGGAAAAATCCGAAAAAAAAAACAAATTTGAATCGAAAAAGATGCATGCAAAAACCGGAGACCGGTCCCAAAAAGACCGGCTTGATATACCATCTGACACCGGTCCAGAAAAACCCGAATTGTTCCGAAACCGGTTCGAAAAGATCAGACCATTTCAAAACCGAACTGAAACCGATATGGAAATGCCAAAGCTAAGGGGCTGTTTGATTGGGTTCTGACCCAGTCCAGTCAGGAGTTTTTGATGACTCGGTCGGAGTCTGTGTGTTTGATGACATGAATATGGTGTCCGACTCGGTCCATAACCCTCCCAAATCCTCAGACTCGGTCCAAGGAAAAAAAGCTTCGGACTGGGTCATCTTCATCATCTGCCCCTTTTGTCCTTTGGCACTGGATGGATCGCTTCATATCCTTTCATCTCTTCCAATGCTTCCCCACTCCAATTAAATATCGGTTTCTTTCTCACGCACCGAAACGAGAGCACCCAAAAACCCTTCATCGAATTCCTATTGTTCCCTTACTCAGAACACGCCTTCCTCCTCCACCCTATGACTGACTTCCAACGCCCTACCAAGCAGAGCCACCAACTACACCTTCTTGCTTCTCCAACGTCCTCCTCCACCCTATTCATGTTGTAGATTGTGTGATTGACGTTTAAATAATCCATCTGCCATAGCTGCGTTTGCACAATCCCACTTGTTTTCTGGTAAATTTCAATTTTTGATTTTGAGTATCCAATTGGATTTCTATTTTTATATGTTCTTTCCGATTTATGATTCTGGTATTTTCTAGTTCTCTGTTCAATGTTCGATTGTTTTCTAAATTCTTGGTTCTTGTAATTTGTGAATTATAGTCTATTTGTTTCTGATTTATAATTTGTCATGTTGTAGATTGAATGATTCTAGTATTTTAGTGAGATTTCAAAAGGATTTCTCTTCACTTCTTCAACCTTTGGTATCTTTATCTCTCTTGTGTTTTTCTCTCATCTTGGTTAGCTTGTTTTTTGTTAATTGCTCTAATCAATTTTAAGGATGTAAAATTTATGATGTGTGACAGCAAACAAAGAGATGGTTGCTTCTATGGAGCTCTCCATACCATTTTTTCCAGATTTGGTGATGAATAAAGTGATTGCAAATTCAACTGTTTACATGAAAGGATGTTGTGTTTCAGATAGAATTGAAGGCTTGAAGTATCTCAATGGATCAGATTGGGCAGAGTCAATATTTTTTAGAAACATTGCTTTGGTTCTAAAGTAGTGCTTATATATGCATGAAAACTATCGTAAATTGTGTTCTTGATTGTTAATAAAAGTCTTATATTTAGATAGACATTTTACCACGAAATCAAAGATAGACATTTTGAGGGTAATATAGTCATTTTACACAATCAGTCAGATGCAAAATCAAACAAGAAGTTTCAGTCAGAAGTTGGCTCAGTCAGAACTTCTAACCCAGTCAGCTTTTGACCCAGTCAGTTATAATCCGGTTAGCAAGTATCAAACGACCCCTAAGTCTATTTAAAAGTTTTCAAATTTCTAAATGATGACGTTAAGACTTGGGAAGATGGTGTCTTTTGTAGTATAAAGAAATTAGCAATCTTATTTCTTAATTTAAAATAAGATGAATTAGTCAGTTAATGATGTTATATTGATTTGAATTGGAAATTAATCGTTAAAGAAATTTTTGTAATAAAAATGAGATAGTCTAATATTTTTTTTCAAAATAGTAAGAAATTATATGCTTAAAAACAAAAGAAAAAATTTATAAGAGGCTATATAAAATATTTCACAAAACAAAAACATATTTATTAATTAAAAAGTAAAGTTTAAAATTGATCAATATTTAATTAATATTTAGGAAATTATAGATATTTTAAAAATAATGTTTGAAAAAAATAATACAAACAAATATGAAAAAAAAAATCGCTATTAAAAGTGATGAAAAATGACTTATCAAGGTAATTAACTTTTCGTTTTGTTTATATTTAAGCAACTTTCTTTTTTTTATACACATTTAACCATTTAACTTGTTAATTTGTTCACATATTACCATTGTCGCCTGTTATAGCCGGTGGCAATAACAATTTGTGAACACATATAACAAGTTAAATGGTCAAAGGTGTACAAAAATAAAGAAGTTACCTAAATGTGAACAAAACGACAAGGATGATTACCCTAATAACTTATTTTCCCTTAATTTTAAAGTCGAGACCGTTCCACCAAAACTTGGTTAAATAATGATGAAATAAATTACTTTATGTTTTAGATGGTATTTTTTATACATTGGTCTTAGTAAGAATGTTATTCAACTCGTTTTAGTTTTCTGTTTAAAATGTTTGGTTTAATTGGTTTTTTTAACATCTAACTAATTACAATCAAACCAAATAAAATTCAATTTAATTGATTTTAGATTATTTAATTAGGTTTACCACATAAACCAAATAAAATTTCACAATTCATATAAAAAATATTAACAGAAAGAAAAAAGAAAACATATTAAATTTTACTAAATTAAAAAAGAAATGATACATAGAATCTTATATTCAATTCTCTAATTTGATGTGGTTTTATTTTGAAATATAATCTATCCCTTGGTTTATGCATCTTCTAGCTTCTTGCTAGTCATGGTTTTCGTTTTATTTATATATATATTAGACGAATTTTCGTGTGTTATATCGAAATAAAATTATAATGTTAAAACTTTTGATAAATATATTATTAAAGATAACTAAGTCATTTCCATCAACTATAAAATAAAAACTTTTTTATAATAGTATAAAAATCTGATATAAAACATTATCACTAATATTACAATAAAGATGTTTATTAGAAGAATGATTTTTTTTTTAAACAGCCAACCATATATTAAAATAAAAAAAAATAAAAAAACTAACAAGGAGCTTGAAAATAATAACAAAAAATTTAGAGGATTTTGAAGCCAATTTAACCAAATTAACGAACATCTATTATTCTTATTTGCAAACCAAAAAAAACAAGAACTCCTTAATGGAGTCAACGACTTCACTTTTCCTTAACTTTCCCGCTTGGAATACTACGCCACTCCTATACCTCCAAATGTACCATATTGTGGTACAAACGATCGCATAAACCACCAATTACTTCCTTGACGACAGTGTACTATTGTCAATGGTATTAAAGAAGCCAACAACCGAATTAAGTTTCAACCAATCATTATCAAACCAAAGATAATATTGCATTTCAAGTTCAAGCCGACACTTCACACCTAATGAAAAGGTGTTCAAGTTGTTCTATGTCAAGATCACAAATCGGGCACAACACCGAGGGAACATCCATATTTCTATTTGCTAAGTTAGACCAAGTTGGAATTCTATCCCTCAAAATCCGCCAAATAAATATATTTACCTTTCTAGAGACAAAAGGATTCAATATAGTTTCTAATTCCAAAGAAGGTAAGATCACTTCATCAATCCACCTCCTTATGTCTCCGAATTTGAAAGAACTATCTTTTCACCAATTTCGCAACACCACATATCCATTTGTTGATGTAAAGAAACATCCTAAATAAATTCCATAAGGGCTGAGAATTGAAGAGATTCTTCACCCTTATGATTAATATGTCTCCAAGACTAGTTCTAGTCTTCATTAACTCTTCTATCAGCAACCGTATAGTCTTTATTTTTCTCCAACTCAAATAACCTTGGGAATCTAAAATCCAATGAATATCCAATCCATATGTCACTCCATAATTTTATAGATGTAACGCCCGCAAATTTGGGCTAGACGTTTAAAGTATAATAATAATAATTATACATTTTATCAAACAATCAAAATCTTTGAATGGAGTAGTTATTCTTCGTACGCATTATGAACTATATAAATATTATTGTATATACAAGAATATAATAATTGTAGAAAATCTTAATATAAAAATTTTGTAACATCCCAAAAACCATGATAAAAATTTTTCATTTTTATGAAGAAATTTCACAAAAACCATAAGATGGTCAAGTATTGTTTTCAAATCAAGTCCATAGAATCAGAGTAACAAATAGTCTCTCAAAATATAAATCGGTAGGATGATGTGTATGATCACGCTTTTGCCTTGTCCCGATCATCTGATGTGCTTGAAAACATTGAAATCAATAACTATAAGTCAAAGCTTAGTGAGTTCCCCTAAAATACCCCCACACAACAATACATATACAATGCTGCACATCAGGCCCACAACATAAGATTGGATTGCCCATCATGGGCCCTCAACTTACAAAATGACTTGCTCCCAATCCCATAACATAAGATTGGATTGCCCCTCTCGTCCCTCAGCTTATGATTGGCTTGCTCCCGAGCCCATAACATAAGACAGGATTGCCCATCCCAGTCCTCAGCTTATGACTGGCTTACTCCCGAGTTTGTTAGCTTACAGCACAAAGCAGTACCGCCTCAACCCAACCATACTATTTTGACATATGAAAATAGATAAACAATAACCAACAATACATGTAATCATACAGATCTACCAATCTATCAAGTCGCTACAGTATACCAACATCCTACACACAAGGACACATATTGAAGTACAAAGTATAGTGAGAAAACTCACCTCGCAGTCTAGAAGATAACACA